AAATGTAGTGAAAGCTGATTGGCTCTTACAACATTTAAAAGGCAGAGGCACAGCTGTCTAGACCAGCGCGAGCTCGGCTCTTACTACATTTAAAAGGCAGAGACACATCGGTCTGGACCCAGTGTGAGCCAGAGCTGAAGCTGTCCCGGATTGTGCCGGGTCCCAGACCTATTCTCACTCTGCAGTTTAAATGGGGGGAGACGCAAAGGGGCCAACTGACCCAGGGCCAAGTGATTCAAAAGGACTAGGGACTCCCTGCTGTGGCCAACATTTCTGTGGCGATGGTGGAGTCCCAGGCCCTTTAAATTGTATCAGAGGGGTAGTCGTGTTAGTCTGTAATTGAAAAAACTTTAAAAACAATTAATAGTTCTGCAGCACCTTAGAGACTAACAACAAATGTAGATGGTATCATGGGCTTTCATGGACACAATTCACTTCTTCAGATGACTGGAGTTTAAGGGGTCCAGGTTCCAAATAAACAGTAGAGAAAAAAAGGGGTGGAAAAGAAAAGGAGAAAAAATGGGAAAAGAATAGTCAATTACAGTATCTGTGTTAAATGAAGCCGATAGAGTGGGTTATAAGTACTCTTAAGTACCTGGTGTTTGTCTTTTTATGTCATTAGGATGTGGAATGTAGTGGGTAATCCAGTTAAGGTCTTTGTTTAAACCTCTGTTGTAGGTATTAGACTTGTAAATGAAATTAAGTTCTGCAGATTCCCTTTCAAGGTGGTTTTTGAAACTGGCTTGTAATAATATGGAATTTTGAGATCCATTAATGTCCCAGCAAGTTAAAATGATACTTAACGTACTTAATGAGAGGTAATTGTCCTGCTCTACTCTACACTCCTCTTGGTACTGTATCCAGTTCTGGGTGCCACGCTTTAAGAAAAATATGGCCAAACTGGAAAGTATAGAGGAGAGTAACAAAAATGTTAAAAATTGTTGATAACCTGACCTATGAGGCAGTGTAAAAACAAACAAAAAAAACCCCAACTGGGCATATTTGGGGGGGAGAGATTGCTCAGTAGTTTGAGCATTGACCTGCTATACCCAGGGTTGTGAGTTCAATCCTTGTAGCAAGCCATTTAGGGCAAAACTTTGTCAGGGATGGTACTTGGTCTTGCTGCAAAGGTAGGGACTGGACTCCATGGCCTTTTAAGTTCCCTTCCAGTTCTAGGGGATAGGCATTCTCCATTCTTTTTTTTTTTTTTTTAAAGTCTTCAAAAAAGGAGGGAGAGAGGTGCCATGATAACAATCTTCAGATATGCTAAGGACTATTATAAAAAGTTTGGTGATCAACTGTTCTTCGCATCCACTGAAAGTAGGAACAGAAGGAATTTATGTGATGTGCAGCAAGAGAGATTTAGATTAGTGTTAAAAACCAACAAATCTGGGTATGACCCATAACATCTTAAGGTGTTAAAATGTAAGCAAGATAATCTACTTGTGTGTGAATTTCAGATATATAATAATTAATTTCAAAGAAATATACTAAACTAGCAATCTGCTCATTTATTTGTAACTAGCCAATTAGCTTGTCATAAGATGGGATTTTCAGGTCTCTCCTCCACCTTGGTCTTCTTTCCTGAGCCTCCGGTCTCTTGCTCTTGCTCTCTCTCAGCTCTCCTCCACCTCCTGCCTCTCTCGCCTTCTGCCTCTCTCTCCGTCTCTTTCTTTCTTTTCTCCCCCTCCTGCCTCTCACGCTCCCTTTTTCTTCTCTTCACCTTCCTCCTGCCTCTCACTCCCCTCCGTTTCTCCCTGCCCCCTTCCCCTTCCCCTCCCGCTGTGGTGCTCAGCTGAGTGCTGCACCCTTCAGCCGGGCCACCACGGGGGAGCCAGCAGCACAAGGGTGCCATTTGGTCTCCCCTGCAGTGGGAGGGAAAGGGGGCAGGGCAGTGACGTACACGGCCAGGGGGCGGGGCTGTGTATGTCACCGCCTTGTCCCCCCTTTCCCTCCCACTGCAGGGGAGACCAAATGGCACCCTTGTGCTGCTGGCTCCCCCGTGGTGGCCCGGCTGAAGGGTGCAGCACTCAGCTGAGCACCACAGCGGGAGGGGAAGGGGCAGCGGTGACGTACACGGCCCCAACCCTCTGGCCATATACGTCACTGCCCTGCCCCCTTTCCCTCCCTCCGTGGCGGCTCGGCTGAGTGTTGTACGCTCAGCCGGGCCGCCGTGGGGCAGGAGGGGTGGGACGGTGATGTACACTGCCAGGGGGCAGGGCCGTGTACATCACTGCCCTGCTCCCCTTTCCCCCCCGCCGTGGCGCTCAGCTGAGTGCTGTGCGCTCATCTGGGCCACTGCAGGGGAGCCCAAACACCCCCCACAGAGGCCCACCTGAGGGGTGCAGCACTCAGTGCCACAGCGGGAGCGGAAGGGGGGCGGGGCGCTGACGTACACGGCCAGGGGGCGTGGCCGTGTACGTCAGTGTTACAAACTCACAGACATTGGGCTACTATATATTTATTTGTAATAATAGACATAAGGAGTGGATACTAAGTATATTTTACCTGTATCCCTTGTTAAAAGTTTAACAATGTAACTGTAGCTTGTAGATGTTAATTCCTTTTCATGTCTTAATTGTTCATAATTGTCTGATATTATGTATGCATATGGTTCAGTTAACCTTAAGATTGAAGAAAATACTACATTATTTACATTGTCTTCATCTTAACTGTCTATGCTATAATGAAATACTGAAATGCACAGGGAATAAAAGATTAGATTGAAAGCAATGGTCCTCAGACAATCTGCAATGCCTACTTTTCCTGGGAGGAAAGGTCCTTCTTTGTCTTGTCTGCTTGCTAGGGCCTGATTCTACCATCTCCAATGTGCTTAAACTTTGAACAGGGAAAGTAAGTCCTAAGATAGAGATCTTTCAAATAATTATTTGGAATATCTGAAAAGTGCATGGAAAGAGTTTAACAGACTTTACATCTAAGATGTCTTTGGTTTCTGATATGTCAGGATGATTCCAGAAAGACATTTATGTCAGCAGCCTTGCTGGTTATGCTATTTAAACTGTCCTGAGGACTTGCGTGTATATTGATTTTTTTAACCATTTGCAACTCTTGCTTTATCCTTTTATTATTAAACCTTTAGTTACTAAAGGATTGGCCTTGTGTAAGTGTGTGTTTCTTTGGGGTTGGTGAAATCATATGTATAATGGATTTTTAGTAATCCTTCACTCTGTAAGAGACTTGGAAGCCATGAAAGGAGTACTAGCAGGGCTTTTTTAGTAATTAGGATAGTATTACAGAAACTGCTTCTTTTCTGACTTGATAAATCTAGTTATAAAATAATCAGTTCTGGGTATTGTTGGCTCTATTTCTTGCAGCCTCCCCTAAAAGGAGCATTCTCATTATGGCAGATCAGGCACCTGCACTTTCAATTAGACGTTAAGAAAATGTTTCTATAATGATAGTTGAGCACTGGCATATGCTTCCAAAGGAGGTTATGGACCCACCTTCAGTGGATGATTTTAAGATCAGTTTAGACAAAACACCTGTCATGGAGGGTCTAGATTTACTTGGTCCTCAGCTGCTCGGGGCTGCACTTGTTCAGCCAGCATGTCTACGCTGCCTGCCTCCCTGCTCCATGTAGCAATGCGCTTGCAGACTTATTAGCTAGCAATGACAGAAGCGCCCCAGGCCAGGGAGTGTGCCACAGGGCATTCATGCTGAGCACAGCTACCGTCAGTGCATCGCCCCTGCTGAGCCGCAGCAAACCCTACAAGGCAGCTCCCAGAGTCCACACACGCTCCGCGCGCTAGGGGGCGACGTTGGCGTGAGGCGCGAGCTGACTCGCTCCCGCGGCGCCGGCCCGGGCGGGGTTTGACCATCCCTCCCCGCTCGGAGTGCGTCACTTCCTGCTCACGCGCCGCCCCGCGGGCTTGTGGGAAACGGCGACGGGAAGGCATCGCGGCGGCAACATGGCGGCGCGGGGGGGGGGGGGGGGGGGGG